TCGCCCCTCTGCCCTCTCTTCTCAACCCTGCATGTGGGCCCTGGCCCCCTCCAGGCTGACCACACTGCTGCTGCTGGACACAGCCGGGCACCCAGCCTGCCTCTGGGTCTTTGCACTGCTGTGTCCTCCGGAAAGCGCCCCTCCCCCTCCCCCCGCATACCAGCCCGGGCCAATGCCTCTCCTTCTAACCCATTTGTTGAATGCTACTGTGTCAGAGCAGCCTCCCTGAGCAACCTGCGTGTAAAAGGGACCCCACTTCCCTTTGCTGTTATTCTGCTTCAGTTTTCAACATAGGCCTTACCACCCTGTGACTTTTCTGTGGATTTGTCTGTGTTCCTCCACTAGTGAGCCCACCAGAGCAGGGGTTTGTTCGCTGGTATAACCCCAGCACTTCCTACATAATAGGTGCTCATAAAATAGTTGTCTAATGTGTGGTTATTTATAAGTTGTCTTTTGAATCCCACAACAATGAGGTTTTCTATTGCCTGTGATTCCTTTAGCACTAAAAATGCCCTGCCAGGTAGAAGCTAAACGGTACACACTCTGTCGCTGAGAAACTTGACATCTTGAGCAGACTGTGCTACTTTCTCCAGTTGGCTTATGCGAACCTGGAGCTCCCTAACACCCGGCCTGTAGTGCGTTCATTTAATTCACACACACACTCCTTGGATTCGTGTGGCTCGCAACCATTGTGCAGGCCCTGGAGGGGGCTGGCCCACAGGCGCTCACCGTCTGCCCTATGACCAGGCACAGCCAAAGCTGCTCTGGGTATGAGGAAGTTGGGCATGTAACACTTGTTAGTGATCTCTTAGGAAAATGGTCACAGAGTATTAAAACAAGATTCATTAAAAATAGTTCAAACAATTGTTAGTGATCTCTTAGGAAAATGGTCACAGAGTATTAAACAAGATTCATTAAAAATAGTTAAAAAGAAACCTGCTGGGGCTACCTGGCCCCTGAACTTGTAAGTACTTTTTCTAACATGTCAGTTCAGCACCATATAAGTTTGTGCATAGATTTCACTTAAATTCAAACTGGCTTGTCATTCTGATGAGGAGCAGTTACTTTGAGTTAAAAGTACGGAGGATTTAAAGCATTTGTTAGGACTTCGGGTTAAGTAGTTGATAAAGACTCTTCCATACTGCTGTTCTGAGACCTCTGACCCCCTCCAACTTGAGGTGTGGTCTCATGATTGTGACTAAACTAAATGACACTTGGGTTCCTGAAAATAATGGTACATCTGCAGATTCTTATTCTGAAACACTGGGCCAGGTGTCTGTGGTATTCAGAGATTGCAGGTGTTTTTTTTAAAATATATTTTATTGATTTTTTACAGAGAAGAAAGGAGAGGGATAGAGAGCCAGAAATATCGATGAGAGAGATCGATCAGCTGCCTCCTGCACGCCCCCCAGTGGGGATGTGCCTGCAACCAAGGTACATGCCCTTGATTGGAATCAAACCTGGGACCCCTGAGTCCGCAGGCCCACGCTCTATCCACTGAGCCAAATCGGTTTGGCGAGATTGCAGGTTTTAGAAAGGTGGTGCCCCATAAACCCTGTCTATTTCGTAATGCTCTCAGCAGGGTTTGGGGTTAGCACTTATAATACAGCATATTTCTGCAGTCAAATGATAAATAGGCAACAAAGTGTGATAAAGACTAAATAGCTCGTGTCAGTTTAGGTCTAGACCGAGGGCTACAAATATACCAACAAAATAAATCTCAGTTTTCATTTCATTTTTGCGGGGGAGGGGGGGCGCGGTGGAATTGCAGACCAGAAGCACCATCTTATAAGTACCGCGCGCTAACCGATTGCACCACTGGAGCTCCAGAAGCACCATCTATTGAGGACCACAGGTGGGGGGGACTCTGCCCAATGCTTTTCATCTGAATTACTCTTCAGAGCACCCTGTGAATCCGGGGTTTCCAGGCCATGACGCAGAGGTTCAGAGGTGTCTATCCCAGATCTCGGTGCCTCTGAAGCCTGACTCCACCGTACTAAGCAGTAATGTGAAGGTGTTGCTTTTGCTCAGATCTAGAAACTTCCAGCACCCTGCTTTCAGCCGGCACCATAGCTCACCCGTACCAGCACAGCAGCCTCTACTGGGTCTCCCGACTTCTACTCGTGCTCCTCTCCCCTTTTCAAACCCAGCCCCCAATACTCTGTTCTCTACATAGCATCAAAGTGCTCATTTAAAACACAAATCCTATCACATCACCCCTCTGCTTAGAACCCTCCAGTAGCTTCCTGTTACTATCGGAACAACATCCACAGCCTGACCATGGCCTACAAGGGCTGTGCGCTGTGACGCCTGCCCACCTCTCCCCCATTTCATACCCTTATCCCTCGTTCACTGTGCAGCAGTCCTCTTGGCCTTTTTGTTATCCTTCCAAAGTCTCTGCTAGGTCGTGCTCAGAGTTTCCTCCCCCATATCTTGGTATCTTTCTCATCATTTAGACTTGATTTGACTATTGCCTTTCCTGACTACTGTATCTAAAACCACCTCCCTCACGTTTCTTCCCCCACCTACCAATTCACCCTCTATTCTGTAGCCCTCGTTAATTTCATTACAGCACTTCCAGCCATCTACTTACCATGATATCCACCCCTGTTATTTGATTCTGCACGTGGTCATTTTCTTTCTTCCTTCAGTGGAATGCAGGTGGGGACTTGCTCTTTCTTCTTCATGCCTGTGCACTCAGTGCTAGAACAGTGCTTGACATTTGATGAGTGTTTACTGAATGAATGAGGACAGGATGCCAGAGAACAGCTGGTGAAGAAGAGGAAGAAGATGAGGAGGTTTAAAGTGAAGTATTTAAATTTTGTATATGTTTTTATTTATGTTAGAGAGAGAAAGGGAGAGGGAGAGGAAGAGGGATAGAAACATCAATGTGAGAGAGAAAGATGGATCGACTGCCTCCTGCAAGTCCCCTGGGCATGTGCCCTGACCAGGAATGTGCTTAATACCCAAGAATGGCACACTTAAACATGGTTAAAAGGGTAAATTTCATGTTATGTGTATTTTACCACAATGGGGAAAAAAAGTTTAAAAAATCACAGTGGTGTGCAGGGTAGAGAAGGAATTTCAGTGGCTCTGAGGAAGTGGTTCTGAGGTCCTGGCAGCAGTCCAGGAGTAAGATGGTGGCTTGAACCAGAACAGTGGCTATGATATCATCGAGAAGTAGGATTTGTGAGTCAGGACTTTGTTATGGATAAGAAAGTAGGGAAAAGAAATGTCAGCGATGCCTCCCAGATTCATGGCTTTCAGACATAGTGGAGTCATTTTTTGAGACAGGAAATTCCAAACCAGCTTAAGGGAAGATCGTATGTGCAGTTTTGGACCTCTTTGTTTAAAATTCTTTCATTCAAGTGGAGATGTTGGCTAGAGAGAGATGAAACTCAGAGAGAGGTTTATAAGTGATAGGTAAATTTTAGAGTTAATGACAAACAGATTATCATGGAAATCATGGACATGAAAGAAATCACCTTGAGGAGAAAGCAGAGAGTAAAGAGAATAGGGTCTTTGGACCAAGCCTTGGGGGAATGCCAGCCTGTAGAGCCCATGAAGATCAACAAGTGTTAGGAAGAAAGCTTGGCCATTGAAGAAGAAAAATCAAAAGAGCTTTCCAACAAGAAATGAGAGATCAACAAGGTCAGCTTCCTGTCTCTGTCGATTTACCTATTCTGGATGTTTCATATAAATGAAGTCATGTCTTCAAGGTTTATCCATGTTGTGCATGCTTCTACACTTCATTTCTTTTTATGGTTGAATAAGTTTCCATGTGTGAATATGCCACATTTTGTTAACAGTTCATCAGTTGATAGACATTGGGTTTGTTTCCACTTTTTGGCTATCATGAGCAGTGCTACTATGAACATTCCTATATAAGTATTTGAAAACCTGTTTTTCAGGTCTTTGGGTATAGGCCTAGGAGTGAAATTGCTGGTTCTAAGCTTAACTTTTTGAGGAAATAGCAATTCTTTTCCATAGAAGCTGCACGGTTTTGCACTCCCATCAGCAACATAGGAAGGTTCTGATTTCTCTACATCCTCATCAACACTTTTATTTTCTGTATCATTATTACTAGTATTGTCATTCTGGTGGGTATGAAGTGGAACCCAGTTGTGTTTTGATTTGCGTTTCTCCAATGACTAATGATGTTGAGCATCTTTTTATGTGCTTGTGGCATCTGTAAATCTTCTTTAGAGAAATGTCTGTCCCAGTCCTGTGCTTACTTTTTAATTGCGTTGTCATTTTGTTAAATTATGAGTTCTTTATATATTCTGGGTAATAGACCCATATCACATATATGATTTATAAATATCCCATTCTGTAGATTGTCTTTTTATTTTTGTCAGAGTGTCCTTTGGGACACATTTTTTTTTAATTTTGAGGAAGCCTAATTTACCTGGTTTTCTTTTGTTGCTTGTGGTTTTTTTGTTTTTTATCACCACAAAGATTCCATTGACAAATCCAAGGTTAGGAAGATTTACCCTTATGTTTTCTTCCAAGAATTTTTATAGTTTTGGCTCTTATACTTAGGTTCTACAACCTTTTGATTTTGTTCATTATTTAAATCATTGCTACTGAATTAGTTCAGTGTAGCCCATAAGCTGGGGTCATAATTTATCTAGGTAAATTGCCCTCACATTGATTTCTGCAAGTTTCAAAGGGAGAATTTTTGGGATTTCATAGGAGCATCTATTTCCATGTAGCTGAATCCTTTATTGTTCAATAAACATTTCAACCTTTTTCTTCTAACATTAAGAATTCTAATTGCACTTGTATAGCCTTTTTACCTTCTCAAGCAGGTAGACAAATTTGCGCTTGACACTCAATGGAAGCAAAGAGCAGAGTTAAAGAGACAGGCTCCTTCCTTTTATTGGCCAGTTGAGTAATTGGCTGCCTCCTGCATGTCCCACCCTGGGATTGAGCCTGCAAACCAGGCACGCACCCGACTGGAATTGGACCCGTGACCTCCTCACAGTTTGATGCTCAACCACTGAGCCACACCGGCTGGACCATAAACATCACTTTATATGTAAAACACCTCTAAAACAACAAATGTATGACTGAGATGAATCATATATAGTAAATTCTTACTCCATTTTGTTTTCTAAACAGGTTTGGGAAAATCTGATTAAATATGCTCTGTGGGTATCACTTCTTTCAAACATTACTTGTATTGTAGGTCACTGGAAGAAAAAATGGCCGATGATCTTTCAGTAGGTTTCTACATAGGAGAACTTAATAAATACTGTCAGAAGAACAACATAGATGTTAATTATCGTGAAGTGTCTAAGACAGGACCGCCACATGACTTAAGGTAAGATTCTACTTAGAAAAAGGATATATACCTATAAAATATAAACTAGGGGAATGAAACTCTGGCATAATTTTGAGGTCAATACTTAGAGCAAAGTTGCCACAGACTTCTGTGAGAGAGTCCTCTTGGTATGAAATTGTAACTTTGGAGGACTCTGGAGAAAAGAAGAGGGTATAAGCTTTCCCATGCTTCAAGATGATGTGCTCTTATGCTGTTTGGAGGTCACTGCTTAAATATTGAACATAGGTCAAAACCTTCAAAGGTAGACAGAAGAGGCAGTGGTGGTTAGATTACTTGTGTCTTGATAATGCGTGAGTTTCATAATGTTTTGTGAATATTGTCTTTGTAATCAGGTTTACAATTCAAGTTATATTGGATGGGAGACAATTTCCAGAAGCTAAAGGCAGATCAAAGAAGGAAGCAAAAAATGCTGCAGCCAAATTAACTCTTGGAATACTTAAAGAAGAACGGGTGAGTAATTGCCTTTTTCCCTTAGTGAAAAGGGACTCACAATATTGTTTATATTTTTCTCTGTGAGAAAATACCGACATAAAAAAAAATCCATTGGCAAGTTCCCTTACATTCACAAATTCAGTTCAGTGTTTTCCCTGTCTCCATTTCTGTAGAATCTGAAAGAAAGGTACACCTAGGCCCCAGCTGGTTGGCTCAGTGGATAGAGCATTGGCCTGCAGACTGAAGGGTTCTGGGATGGATTCCAGTCAAGGGCACATGCCCAATTGCAGGCTCGACCCCAGTAGGGGTTGTGCAGGAGGCAGCCAATCAATGATTCTCTCTCATCATTGATGTTTCTCTCTCTCTCCCTCTCCCTTCCTATCTGAAATCAATAAAAATATATTTTTTTAAAAAAGGAAGAAAGGTACACCTAGGAAATAATGGTCAAAGCTGGATAATACCTGTTTATAGTGCGAATAGTAGTGACATCCTCTAAAGTTGAACAGATGTGGAAAGGAAACAGGAAGAAATGAGCTGACAGGTGCTGGTGGAAGTCCCTCCACTTAATTGAGGGAATCCGTGGAAAAGGACAAAGGGATGAAGGGGATTGTGTGGAGAGGGATGTATGTGGAGGGCAGGTAATGGAGAACGAACATACGTATAATTGGCAGTCCTGAAGATGAGAACAGAGTGACCAGTACAGAAAACGCTACCTAGAAAGATTTCGGTAGAAAAAAAATTTTTTTAAAATATGTTTTTAGAGGAAGGGGAGAAAGAGATAGAAACATCAATGATGAGAATCATTGATTGGCTGCCTCCTGCACGCCCCATACTGGAGACCAAGCCTGCACTCCAGGCATGTTGCCCTTGACCGGAATCGAACTTGGGACCCTTCAGTCTGCAGTCTGACACTCTATCCACTGAGCCAAACCAGCTAGGACTGGAAAATATTTCTGAAAGAGAGAAATAACTGGGTGAAGATTAAAATAATGGATATAGGAAAATACAGAACCAAATTAACTCTTGAAACACTTAAAGAAAAACAGGTGAGTAATTGCAACTTCAGTCATTGTGAAAGTACTGAGTTCTAGTAATGAAGAAAGAATCCTCAAGTATCTAGGCATAAGAAAGAAATTATGTAAAATGTAAAAATGAAAAAAAAAAGCAACATTAAAAACCAGGATATAAGGGAGCAGCAGCTTTAAAATGAGACAAGAAATCATTTATGGGTGGCACAAAAGATGGGCATTCTCAGATACTGAAACTTTCGGAAAATTTAGCTTTCAAGATGCTTTCCTGCAAAATCTTACTTGAAGATGTTTTCTTCTAACCTCAATTGAAAAAATAAATTTGGCAAAATCACACTCCTAAGTTGTTAATGAGCTAGAAAACCAAGTCAAGAAGTTAGAAAAAGAACAAAAATTTAACTATTTTATTTTCCCCCAAAAAAGCAGAAGAAAGAAAATAACAAAGGGCAGAATGTAATCTAAAGGAAAACAAAGAAGATCAATAAAACCCAAAGTCAGTTGTTTAAACAAGATTAATAAAGTAGCAAAACTTTAGACACAATTTTGTTAGATTAGGAGTAAAAGAAGATGCAGATAGCAATGGAAGGATTGATGCTGTTATATTCACCTTTTCCATTAAGTTATCATCAAGGATATAACTTTAGTTCAATATTTGTTATTTTGTTTTTTGAGGGTACAGTAAGCTAGAAAGTGTTATAGTATTTTGCATGGAAAAACAGAAAATTGACTCTTGTTTTTCCTTATCCTATACTAGAGGCTCAGTGGACTGATTTGTGCACTGGTGAGGTCCAGCCAGCCCACCCTGATGGGGGCCATTAGCAGTGGGCGGCTGGGGCGAGGAGCCATGGGCAGGGCTGGCCAGGGTGAGGGGCCCGTAGGCGTTTTGGTCATTCTGCTGTTCCGTTGAATTGCATATTAGCCTTTTATTATAGAAGGGTAATATGCAAATGAACCAAATGGTGGAATGACTGGTTGCTATGATGCGCACTGATCACTAGGGGCAGACGCTCAATGCAGGAGCTGCCCCCTGGTGGTCATTGCGCTCCCATAGGGGAGCCTCCATGTCAGTGCTAAGGGTGTCCTAGTGACGGCCTAGTCCTGGGCCTGCGGGCTCCTGAACTGTGAGAGGGCACAGGCTGGGCTGAGGGACCCCCCCCTCCCCCCGCCCACCCTGAGTTCATGAATTTTGTGCACCGGGCCTCTAGTGAAACTATGAAAGGAAAATGGGGTGATTATTTTTCTATTGTTAAAATTCTTGTGGGAATTTTCTGGTAGAGGAAGGTATATGTTTCTGCTTTGACTCAAAGTAATAGAGTAGTAGGGGAGTATATAAAATCTAAGTTGTTTATCAAATGGCACATTTAGTAATTTTATTAGAAAAATAAAATAAAGAGTCCTGGCTATTAGTGGTTAGAGTGTCAGCCGAGCACTAAAGCATCTAGGGTTTGATTCCAGGTCAAGGGCACATACCTGGGATTTGGATTCAGGGAGACGTGCAGGAGGCAACCCAGTGGATGTGCCCTTCTCATAAGGATGTTTTTCTTTCTCCTCCTCTCTCTTTCTCCCCATCCCAACTCCCTCCTTTACACTCACTCTGAAAAGCAATGAAAAAAATGCCCTTGGGAGAGAACTAACAACAACAAAAAAGAAAAAGAAAATACAGAGCTAAATCTTTGTTGTCATCCTCATTAAACAAGATTTTTTATTCTTTGCAGGAATCTGGTCCTTTAACCCTGCCGACAACAGATACTTCAGATGATTTGTCCAGTGAGAATTTCATAGGTCGTCTTGATAGGATTGCCCAAAAGGAAAGACTCTCTGTAAATTATGAACAAAGAAGTGAATTGAACCCCAGTGGAACCGGAAGGTGAGATGAAGTCGGGTTTTTCCTTCCATTTCATTGTACCTAAGCAATGGAATGAGCTTATTTCCATGTCTAATTTTTTAGAAATGTTTGTCCTTTTTGTACATTTTGCATAGAAGGTTT